CATTTACTGCAGGCAGTGCCGCCATTACCGAAGAGCGTCGGATCTGATCCACGGATCAGGACGCCGGCAACATGTCGAGCCACGGCTCTGCCTCGCTCCGTCCCTGGCGTCAAACGTCAGTGCATTCAAGGACCCACGTGTCTGGTCAGTATAGCTTTGTATAAGTGGATTTATCTGTTCCAGATGGGACCCTCAGCATTCAATTCTTCGAATCACGAAGCTAGACTAGACGCCTGATATTCCGAGCTCATGTGAGCTCGGGATCACATACTCCACGTCCGACAAAATACCACAAATTCAAAAAAAATCTTTATTTTCCACGCCCAGACCTACAACAAATTTGTGCAGGACGGGTTTACCCTCAGGCCATTTCCACGATCAATAATCAATAGATCAAAAAAGGAAGAAACGATCAACTCAGCAGACTAAAACGAAACACCGCGCCGCCGCCTCGCGTTGTCGCCCCGCACCCGCTGTACCTCCTCCCCGGCGAGCCGCCGCCTCAACGTGCTTCCTATCCCACAACACTATATCGTCGTTCCTCCTTCCCCCTTCCCGGCGCGCCGCTGCCTCGCTGTGATTCATACTGCTTCTTCTCCTCCCATGCACGTACGTTCTGCCACTGCCCAATAGGTTGCCACTCCTCTCTCTCTCTAAAATTTAGTCTAACATGTGTATTGAGGAATCCTAGACCATGAAGGTTATGATGGAGGAGCAGAGCTAGTAGGCATGCTTCAAAAGTACGTGCAGAATGTTGATGAATACTTACGCCTAACCATTAACTCTCTTCGAAAAATCATGTAATTTTGTAGGGAAGAAGGTCCAGAAAATGCTGAAAAATATAGAGGTCATGCCAAAATTTTAGGTCAAAATGCTGTCAAATTTTTATTATATTCATATCAACTAAACTAAATATCAAAACGTGTTACATCAATTCTGTAACGCCCGACTAATCATGCTACAGTAATCTCACGTTAACGATGCCATGTCACCACGGTTACTGTTGCTAATCCCGCTTTAGTTCAAACGATTCAAATTCAAATTTGAGTTTTTGTCGAACCTCAAAAGTTTTCAAAATGTTAAACTAAAATGTTCAGAGTGTGAAAATAAATGCCTATGTATTTATGGTGAGGGAACCATGCTTTTATAAATAAAAATATACTTAAAATGAATTAAAACATAAAAGAAAATAAATAAGAGGAAAGAAATAAAACAAAAGACAAGAAAAACACCCCCCCCCACTGGGCCAACCGTGGCCCAGCTGGCCAGCCCAACTGGGCATCCAGGCCACCAGGCCGGCCCACCTCTCCCCCCTTATCCCCACCCCGACCAGAACCCTAACCCCACACGACACCCACTCCTCTCGCTCCCCTCCCCATCCCTCGCGCCGCCACATGCCTAGAGGCGAGGCGCCTCATGCCCGAACCTCCCCCCTCACAGCCTCTCCTCCCTCTGTCCCTCCTGCTTCGCCCATCGTCGCCCATGCTGCCCTCACTGACGGCCTGCTCGCCTCCCTGTCTAGCCTCGACCGGCGCCAGCCTTACCCGTCCTCCTGGCCAAGCTGCTGCCATGCCCCGGTGCCGCCATATGCTGTTGGAAATATGCCCTAGAGGTAATAATAAATTGGTTATTATTATTATATTTCCTTGTTCATGATAATCGTTTATTATCCATGCTATAATTGTATTGATAGGAAACTCAAATACATGTGTGGGTACATAGACAACACCATGTCCCTAGTAAGCCTCTAA